GAAACAATAAGCCAGATTTTTATCTTAAGTCACACTGTGCTCAAGATCCTCTAGGTAATTTTGAAATAATCACTTCCCTGTGTCCTTTAGCACTGGAAAGACTATGTAAATGTCCTCCATTCGCCCTGCTCTCTGGTCTTGGATTTATCTACTAATACAGCCAGGAAATTACCTTCGACATCCCCTGAAATCTGGCTTTCTGCTAGACTGTCATCCTTCATCCTCAGATCCTGAAACATCCACAGAAAGGAAACCCCAAAATGCAAGTGCACACGCACACACACATACACACACACACACACACACACACACACACGCAGCCTTTCTGCCTTCCTAAATCTAAAAGGCATAGTAGCACCATAAATTACAAGAAAAGAAAATTAATTTTGAGCTAAATTTTCTCATTCTCTAATATCAGGTTTCAGTTAGATATTAATATTTAAAATATCTTCTAATACATTATTCTACCGTCCATTTGAGGAAAGGAACAAATGTAAACACAAATATAGTCCCCTTCTCTTTGTAACCTTTCTTTTCTTTCCATTTTTTAATAGCTGCAAACTTGCAGGACTCTTAAATCAAATATTACTTAAATTCTATTTCAGCACCTTCTGGGATAACAAAATTCCAAATACGTAATAAAAATAAATTGCCATTAATAGCTAGGTCTTTGGCAGAGTTACTGGCCTGTTTTATTTACTTACCCAGTGCTGGTGTGATTTTCTACTTTGGGCACAGCTGTGAACAGGACTATTAATAATCAGGCTGCATGAAAAAGGAGTCAGTTCATAGCTCTGTAATTCAATGATCTTTCTAACGTTTTATAAATTATAGCTGTTCTGAGTGAGTCATTCACACAGTTCGATTGACCCATTAAGACCTCTGATTTTTTTTAATGCAGTCTCCCTCTGTCTTGCAGGTTACAGGGCAGTGGCATGATCTTGACTTACTGCAAACTCTGCCTCCCAGATTTAAGCAATTCTCCTGCCTCAGCCTCCTGAGTAACTGGGACTACAGGTGCCTGCCATCACACCCAGCTAATTTTTGTGTTTTTAGTAGAGAAAGGGGTTTCATCATGTTGGCCAGGCTGGTCTCAAACTCCTAACCTTACATGATTCACCTGCCTTGGCTTCCCAAAGTGCTGGGATTACAGGCATGAGCCACTGTACCTGGCCTCTGGTTTTTTAGAAAAAAAAAAAACTGTGTGGTTCATAAATAAAAATACTTTGGAAAGAGGGCAACTGGCACACAATCCTGAGAGCCTGTAAGCCCCATTAACCCTAGGCCTGCAAGGAAATTTTGCAGAATTCGATAACTTTGTGCTCCTGAATGAGCACAAAGTAAGTATAAACAAACTACAGTATAAAATAATTCAATAAAGACTGGCTTATCCTAGTTTGTTCCAGGATAAGATCACCACAGTATTTCACAGTTTTTTAGAAAAGCATTGCTATACTGCTGTTATTGATAGTTTCTTTATCAAGATTTCATCTGTACACTGAAAGACTCAGAAAGAAAAGTCATCAAATTAAGTCCATTATTTATTTTAGTCTCTCACACAAGTGGCATTGATTCACTGAACCTGACTGTGGGATATAAGCATGGTTGGAGAACAGGCGTGGTGGCTCATGCCTATAATCCCAGCACTTCGAGAGGTTGAGGCAGGTGGATCACCTGAGGTCAGGAGTTTGAGACCATCCTGGCCAACATGGCAAAACCCTATCTCTACTAAAAATACAAAAATCAGCCAGACATGGTGGCACACACCTGTAATCCTAGCTACTGAGGAGGCTGAGTCATGAGAATCACTTGAACCCAGGAGATGGAGGTTGCAGTGAACCGAAATCACACCATTGCACTCCAGCCTGGGTGACACACGGAGACCGAGTGAAAAATTTCAACCAACCTCACTTCCATTACTTTCCTGTATTCAGTGTCACAATCTGACATTTAAGGTCTCTCTCTGCATTTCCCACATCAACCATTCCGGAGCCACCACCCACTCCATCACAGACATACTTGCTTATGTGCTCAAGAGCTTAGCTGCTCTAGGCATACTTGTGACCAAACAGATCTAAGAACAGACAGTTGCTGTCTGATTTCACCAGGTGAAGGTAAACACTTGAGAGTATCCATAAACCAATCCATTCCATAATGTCTCCTGCAGAAACGTTTTTCAATATTCTAATCAGAATTACTGTTTTCTTCCTCTATGTGCACTTAGCCCTTTGTAACTATTATTGACTCTATAATATTTTCTCTGTGTCTCCCTCCACCCCAACTGAAGGCTCTTCAAGTATCAGGATACATAGGGGAACCGTCGCAGTACAGTACAATGACTCTCAACCAGTGGCATCAGAATCCCTGGGAACTTGTCAGAAAAGCAGAATTTCATGCCCCACCTCAGACCTACTGAATCGGGGTAGGTCTGGGGATGGGACTCCAGCAGCCAGAGTTTTAACAATCCCTCCAGGTGATTCTGATTCAGGTTCCCAAGATTGAGAACCACTGGTATATAGGAACAAGTATGGGTTTTGGAAGCAGAAAATCTAAGGCTTTTAAATTCCTGCTGCACCCCTTATTAGCTGATGACATTAATCAAGTTGTTTGCTATCTCTGAGTTACCTCTACTCACCTATGAAATTCGTGACTTATAAAAACATTGGTGAGGGGTGGATTTTTTTAAAAATAGTGGTCTTTTCAAAAACTTGTGCTGGGACATTGGGATATCCACCTGCAAAAGACGGAAGGTGGACCCTCTACCTAGCCCATAAAAATTAACTCAAAATGGATCCAAGATTTAAATGCGAGAGTTAAAGCTGTAACACTCTTAGAAAAAAAATAGGTATAAATCTTTGTGACCTTAGATTAGGCAATGGTTTTTTTTTAGATATGACACAAACAGCACAAGAAACACAAGAAAAAATACATAAATTGGACCACATCGAAATGTAAAACATCTATACTTGAAAGGACACTATCAAGAAAGAAGACAACCCACAGAATGGGAGAACATTTTTGCAAATCATGTATCTGATAACAGACTTGGTTCCAGAATACATAGGGAGCTCTTACAACTCAACAATAATAAGACAAATTGCCCAATTTAAAATGAATAGACAGCCCCAGGTGCAGTGGCACATGCCTGTTGTCTCAGCTACTTGGGAGGGTGAGGCAAGAGGATCCCCAGAGCCAGGAGTTTGAGATACAGAGGAACTCTGTCTCTTAAAAAAAAAAAGGCTGGGCACAGTGGCTCACGCCTGTAATCCCAACACTTCAGGAGGCCAAGGCGGGCAGATCACCTGAGGCCAGGAGTTCAAGACCACCTGGCCAACACAGCAAAACCCCGTCTCTACTAAAAAAAAAAAAAAAAAAATTGGCCAGGTGTGGTGGCAGGTGCCTGTAATCCCAGCTACTTGGGCAGCTGAGGCAGGAGAATTGCTTGAACCTGGGAGGCAGACATTGCCATAAGCCAAGATCATGACCTACTGCACTCCAGTCTGGGAGAGGGAGCAAGACTCCATCTCAAAAAAATAGGAGCCTGGCATGATGCTTGTAATCCCAGCAACCCACTTGGGTTACTTGGGAGGCTGAAGTGGCAGAATCCCTTGAGCCTAGGAATTTGAGACCAGGCTGAGCAACACAGCCAGACCCAATCTTAAAAAAAAAAAAAGTCCAGGTGCGGTGGCTCACGCCTATAATCCCAGCACTTTGGGAGGCTGAGGCGGGTGGATCACGAGGTCAGAGATCGAGACCATCCTGGTCAACAAGGTGAAACCCCGTCTCTACTAAAAATACAAAAATTAGCTGGGCATGGTGGTGCACGCCTGTAGTCCCAGCTACTTGGGAGGCTGAGGCAGGAGAATTGCTTGAACCCAGGAGGCGGAGGTTGCGGTGAGCCAAGATCATGCCATTGAACTCCAGTCTGGGTAACAACAGCGAAACTCCGTCTCAAAAAAAGAATGGAAATTTCTCCAAAAAATATATACATGGTCAATAAGCAGATGAAAAGATGCTTAAAGTCATGAGTCATCAGGAAAATGCAAATCAAAACAATATTAAAATATCACCCCACACCAAGTAGAATGGCTATAATCTCAAAATGGCAGCAAAAACAAGTTGGTGAGGATATAGAGAAATTGGAAACTTTGTACACTGCCGATGGGAATGTAAATGGTGCAGCCATTTTGGAAAACAGTCTGGCAGTTCCTGAAAATGTTAAACAAAGAATTGCAATACGACCTAGCAATTCCACTGCTAGGTACAAACCCAAAAGAAATAAAAACACATATCTACACAAAAACTTGCCCATGAATGTTCATAGCAGAGTTGTTCATAATAGACAAAAAAATGGAAGCAACCCGGATCTCTAGCAACTGATGAAAGGAAAAATAAAATATGGTAAATCCACACAATGGAGTACTGATACATGCTACAACATGGGTGAACCTTGAAAACATGCTAAGTTAAAGGAGTCAGCCGCAAAAGACCACAGATTGCATGATTTGATTTATACGAAATGTCTAGGATAAGCAAATCTATAGAAACAAAAAGTAGATCAGTCTGGTTGCCTAGAGTTGTTGGAGCAGGATTGGGAGGAAATGGGAAAATGAGGAGTGATTGCTAATGGGCGTGGGGTTTCTTTTTCAGGTGATTATATAATTGTTCTAACATTGTAGCAATGGCTGCACAACACTGTCAATATACTATAAGTCATTGGATTTTACTTTCAATTGTTTGAACTATTTGGTATGTGAATCCTATCTCAATAAAGCTGCAACAAAATAACAATGACCACAAAGCTTTTCAGCCATTAAAATATTTAATCAAAGAGGCAAGGAGGGAGTTTAAGAATAGTTCAACTCTGAAATCTGAGGAAAAAACTGTGAAGTCAGTTCATTTGCATTCTCTTTGGTTATAATAAATCAAAAAAGCTAATACAAAAGAGAAGAATGAAATTAAAGAGAAGCGCTCTCCACTGCTGTCCTCTTTAGCTCAACATGGTGGCCTACCAGGTGACTGGCAACCACTTCTCTGCCTTCAGGATCCTCTGCTCCAGAGGTTATATATGCCGCAATTTTACAGTCTTCGGCTTTACTGACCAGAACCCATATTAACTGTGGATCAAAGGGCATGTGGCAGTGATTCAAATTAACTCTCCCAATTCAAAGGTAATACACTCAATAAAGAGCTGCATTCAGAGTTCACAGATGTTATGAATGAAATCTGGGCTAATGATCAAATCAGAAGTGCCGTCCTTATCTCATCAAAGCCAAGCTGCTTTATTGCAGGTGCTGATATCAACCTGTTAGCTGCTGCAAGACCCCTCAGGAATTAACACAGACATCACAAGAAGCACAGAGAACATTTGAGAAAGGAAAAGTCCACAAAGCCTGTTGTGGCTGCCGTCCATGGATCCTGCCTGGGAGGAGGACTTGAGCTTGCCATTTCCTGCCAATACACAATAGCAACAAAAGACAGAAAAGCAGTATTTGGTGCCCCTAAAGTCTTGCTGGGGATCTTGCCAGGAGCAGGAGGCACACAAAATCTGCCCAAAATTGTGGATATGCCTGTTGCTTTTGACATGATGCTGACCGGTAGAAACGTTCATGCAGACAAAGCAAAGAGAATGGGACTGGTTGACTAATAGGTGGAACCCGGGGCCAGGACTAAAACCTCCAGAGGAACAGACAATCGAATACCTAGAAATTGCAATTACTTTCGCCAAAGGACTGGCTGATAAAATCTCTGCAAAGAGAGATAAAGAATTGGAGATTGGTGGAAAAACTGACAGTGTACACCATAACTATTCAATTTGTCAGGCAACACATTTACAAAAAAGTGAAAGAAAAAGTGCGAAAGCAGACTAAAGGCCTTTATCCTGCACCTCTGAAAATAATTGATGTGGTCAAGACTGGAATTGAGCAAGGGAGTGATACTGGTTATCTCTCTGAATCTCAGAAATTTGGAGAGCTTACAATGACCAAAGAATCAAAGGCCTTGATGGGACTCTACATGGTCAGGTCCTGTGCAAGAATAAATTTGGAGCTCCACAGAAGAATAAATTTGGAGCCGCTTGTTGCAGACTCAAGAAGGAAGCCAGACCAGAGATTCCCGGGCAGAAGAGCACCATCAGTCTTATCGCTGCTATTTTGGCCGGCGCAGTGGGTTGCTTGAATCCCAGCACTGGGAATCAATAAATTGGATGTCGACTCAGAAACCAAATTAGAAAGGCAGTAATTGTAAAGACAACAGATGGATAAATTTATAATAAAGGGAAAAAACCAGCCTAAGAAGGCCGAGCATACCCAAAATCAGAACCCCTCTCCCTCTACAGGGGATTGCAGTTCCTCATCAGCAACGGAACAAGCCCTGATGGAAAAGGACTGTGTTCCATTATCTGAAGTAGGCTTCAGAAGGTGGATGATAAGAAACTTCTGGGAATTAAAAGAACTTGTTCTAACCCAATGTAAAGAAACTAAGAACTTTGAAAAAAGGTTTGACGAAATCCTAACAAGAATAGACAATATAGAGAGGAATATAAAGGAATTAAAGGAGTTGAAAAATACAACACGAGAACTTAGTGAAATATGCACAAGTTTAAATAGCAGAATGGATCAAGCAGAAGAAAGGATATCAGAGGTCGAAGACCAACTTAATGAAATAAAACGATAAGACAAGAATAGAGAAAAAAGGATGAAAAGGAATGAGCAAAGTCTCCAAGGAATATGGGACTATGTGAAAAGACCCAATCTACGTTTGACTGGTATACCTGAATGTGATGGAGAGAATGAATCCAAGCTGGAAAATACTTTTCAGGATATTATCCAGGAAAATTTTCCCAATCTAGCAAAGCAGGACACTATCCAACCCCAGGTAATACAGAGAACACCACAAAGATATTCCTCAAGAAGAGCAACCCCAAGGCACATAATCGTTAGATTCACCAGGATCAAAACGAAGGAGAAAATACTAAGGGCAGCCAGAGAGAAAGGCCAGGTTACCCATAAAGGGAAGCCTGTTAGACTTACAGCAGATCTCTCAGCGGAAACCCTACAAGCCAGAAGAGAGTGGGGGCCAATATTCAACATACTTAAAGAACAGAACTTTCAGCCTAGAATCTCATATCCTGCCAAACTAAGCTTCACAATTGAAGGAAAAATAAAATCTTTTATGAACAAGCAAGTACTCAGAGATTTTATTACCACCAGGCCTGCTTTACAAGAACTTCTGAAAGAAGCATTATACATAAAAAGGAACAACTAGTATGAGCCTTTCTAAAAATGTACCAAAAAGTAAAGAGCATCAACATAAAGAAGAATTTACATCAACAAATGGATAAAATAGCCAGTTAACATCAAATGTCAGTAACCCTAAATTTAAATCGACTAAATCCCCCAATCAAAAGATACAGCCAAAACCTAACGGTATATCCAAAGATACACAACAACTCAAAACAAAGGGTTGGAGAAAAATTTACCAACCAAATGGAGAGCAAAAATAAATAAATAAACAAAAAGCAGAAGTTGCAATTCTCACATTTGATAAAATAGATTTCAAAGCAACAAAGATACAGTGGTAAAAGGATCAATGCAACAATAAGAGATCTTAATACCCAGATACATAAGACCCATAACGAGATTTAGACTCAACGAGACAGAAAATTAATAAGGATATCCAGGAGTTCAACTGAGATCCGGAACAAGTAAACTCAATAAATATTTATAGAGTTCTCCATTTTAAATACACAAAATATTGATCGGCCATTATTAATACCCATTTTCAGAATGAAGCAATATTCCTGTTCTCTCTCCCTCTTTTTCTTCCTCTTTCTTCCTCTCCTTCTCTCCTTTTTTTTACTTTTCAACATCCTAGTTCCTCACCTCTACTCAATACAGTCCTCTGAACACCTGATTCCTTGTGATTCTCCTGTCCCACTGGAAAAAAAAAAAAAAAACAAGTGTTCAAAGGATTGAATGATAAGGTGAAGAAGAAACCTCTAACATCATCTGAAAGAGACTCCATCTTCAACAACTTGACTGGCCAACTTGATTACCAAGGTTTTGAAAAGGCCGACATGGTGACTGAAGCTGTGTTTGAGGACCTTAGTCTTAAGCACAGAGTGCTAAAGGAAAGCGAAGCGGTGATTCCAGGTGACTGTGTTTTTGCCAGTAACACATCTGCTCTCCCAATCAGTGAAATTGCTGCTGTCAGTAAAAGACCTGAAAAGGTAATTGGCATGCACTACTTCTCTCCCCTAGACAAGACACAGCTGCTGGAGATTATCACAAATCGATAAAACTTCCAAAGGCACCAGTGCTTCAGCTGTAGCAGTCAGTCTCAAGCAGGACAAAGTCATCATTGTGGTTAAGAATGGACCTGGCTTCTATACCACCAGGTGTCTTGCACCCATGATGTCTGAAGTCATCTGAATCCTCCAGGAAGGAGTTGACCCGAAGAAGCTGGATTCCCTGACCACAAGCTTTGGCTTTCCTGTGGATGCCACCACAGTGGCGGATGAAGTTGGTGTGGATGTAGCACAACATGTGGTGGAAGATCTGGGCAAAGCCTTTGGGGAGCAGTTTGGAGGTGGAAACCCAGAACTGCTGACACAGATGGTGTCCAAGGCTTCCTAGGTCGAAAGTCTGGGAAGGGCTTTTACAACTATCTGGAGAGTGGAAGAGTAAGAATTTGAATTCTGACATGGATAGTATTTTAGTGAGTCTGAAGATGCCTCCTAAGTCTGAAGTCTCCTCAGATGAAAACATCCAGTTCCACCTGATGACAAGATATGTGAATGAGGCAGTCATGTGCCTACAAGAGGGGATGTTGGCCAGACATGCAGAGGGAGACATCAGACCCGTCTCTGGGCTCAGCTTCCTCCCTTGTCATGGAGGGCCTTTCTGCTTTGTGGATCTGTATAGCACCCAGTAGATAGTGGACCCGCTCAAGAAGTATGACGCTGCCTGTGGAAAACAGTTCACCCCATGCCAGCGGCTAGCTGACCATGCTAACAGCCCTATCAAGAAGTTCTCCCAGTGAGCAGGTCTCTGCCTCGCTCAGCCAGTGCACTAACCCCAGCTACCGGCTGTGCTGGTTCTCCAACAGAGTGGAGTCTAGATTTATCAAAGTAATGAAAAGGAAGACAAACTCTGGCATTGGGATTTCTCCCTGATTAAAGTGCCTTCAGCCAACACCATCTCTCCCTCCTGGTGAAGTTTGTGAATTAGAGTTTGCACTTCCTATTGGAAGGTGGAATCCACTATGCTCACTGTATAAGTCCCGAGGCCTAGAGTGGCAGCTACGAGCCATCTAGAGCTTAGAGCCGTCTCTGCCTGTTCCTCCCAGGAGGCCAGGGTGGCCAAGGGTGGTGAGGGCAATTCTGCACCCAGCCAAACACATAACAATAAAAACCAAACTCTGTTAAAAAAAATTAAATTAAAAACATGAATTACAAGAGGCTTTCACATCCTCTTTTTACGTTGTTAGCAAGCCAGAAAACACATTCCCCATGGCATATGTTACAATTTAAATTTTGTTCAACAATTAAATCGTTGTCACATTAATAGTGGTAGTAGGATTTTAGAGCTGGGGCCCCAATGACTATCTACTCCAACTTCCAGATTTTACAAATATAGACTTCTGTAACATTTTTCATACCACTCCACACTGCTTCCCCATCAGTTTGCAGACATTTTTATTTTATGCAATTCTAAAAAACTGTTTTCTGGAACATGTGTTTCATGGCCTCAAGAATATGATTTTTAAAAAATTTTTACATTGTTGTCTTGTCACATTTGGTGACATGAGCCTTTCTTAGTTTCAATGACAGGTGATGATGCTTTCCTTTGTGATACACACATCATGAAACAGTTGCCTTCAGTTTTTGCTTTTTAATAGCTTGCTTACATTAAGTTGTACAGAGCTATGAAAGAATCAGATAGCAATCAAAATACTCTTCCTAATCATCGTTAATTTCTAGCTGATTCCCAGTGCTGACTTTTTCAATCTGAGTTCAAATTTGGTGTGCCTGCATTTTAGTTCAGGACCAGATTATTTCCCAGTGTTCGATTGTTTCAAATCCAGAAAAGGGGAAGAAGAGTCTGGCATTTTACATTCCAGACTTCAAAACAACAATCTATTTCCAAAGAAAAAATACATTAAAAATATTTTTGAAAAACAAGGGTAGTTTTCTCATTTCTGTTTTTCTACTTGCCACATTCCTCAGGTTTTCATATTGACTCCTCTTCAGGGGAGAGTAAATCTTTCTGTGACATATTTACAAGTTTATATTTTAATTTACATGGTGCATTAGGCCATTCTTGCTTACTATAAAGAAAGACTGGAAACTGAGTAACTTATACAGAAAAGAAGTTTAATTGGCTCATGGTTACGCAGGCTATACAAGCATGGTGCTGGCATCTACTCGGCTTCTGAGGAGGCCTCAGGGAGCTCTTACTCATGATAGAAATGGGAGCATGCATGTCACATGGAGAGAAAGAGAGCAAGGCAGGCGAAGTGTCACACACTTAATCAGATCTTACAAGAATTCACTCTTCACCAGAGGATGGCGTCAAGCCATTCATAAGGAATCTGCCTCTATGATCCAAACACCTCCCAACAGGTCCCATCTCCAACACTGGCCATTATATTTTAACATGAGATTGGGCAGGGACAAATATCCAAACTATATCACACGGTGTCATGTAACAGGCCAGAATCACTAGAAACACCAACATCCTCTAAGACTGAATTATGCATCTCAGTAATTCTACGTAACTATGAGAATCATAAAGGTTATAAATGGGACCAGTCATTTATAAAATTCATTCAAAGATCTGAAGAGGTAAGTAAGCATCTAAGCAAATACTGAGAGAATCAGGCTGAAAATGTTGGTCACCATTATTATTAGCACATTTTACTTCTCTTTCACAAATAAATTGGTACAAAGCAGTAGTGGATTCTTGATCCATAAAGAAGCGTTATGACATCTTTATTAAATATATCTTTTTGATATAAATATTTTACAACCTTCTGAAGAAAGAACTGATATAAAAATAAAATAATCTGTTCATTTATCACCTTTCCTTAGGTATCGTTTCCTCTTCATTCCATTGTCACCACACCCTTCCAAGTCCTCCTCAAATTATGCCAGTACTACTTTAACAACCTTTTGCCCAGCCTTCCCGCCTACTTTTAACACATTTGGTTTAATGTTAAAATAACTAATTTTACTACAACACCACTTTCCACAGAATCATTCCGTGCTTACAAGACTGCAGAAGCCCCTGTTACCCAGCATAGTATCTAAATTCCTCTGTCCAGCTTTCAGAGTCTCATACATTGTGGTATCACCCAATCTTTCCAAAGGTATTTCATGTTCCCCTACACATGAACCCTCCTCCACTCAGGAAGACAGATGTTCCACAAGAGAAGAAATAACAGGAGGAGAATAAGGTTTGGGAAATAATAATAATTTCTACTATTCATGAAGTGTATGTTGTGAGCCATGAATTGTGCGCCATGAATTGTGCTCAGCACATTACATGCGCTGTTTCGTTTTACCCGCACATAAACCTTATGTGACAGGTGTCATGATTTTACAGAGTGGAAGCTGGGACATAGAGACTTTCTTCTTTAAGATCATTAAGCTATTAAATGGCAGAGCTGGTAGCCTTATGTCTCACTCCAATCCTCAAGTTTTTGTCCACATGTTAAGTTTCACTTACAGTAAAGGTGTACTAGGCAGGTGGATGTGCCCATCTGAAGCTCGGGGGAGAGAAACAAGGGTTATATTTTTCCATCGCTGCCTTCTAGTTAACTGCATCTGTTGTTACAAGTGAGCCTGTCTATTGAAAATGTGTGTAACGAGGAGAATAAACCAAGAACAGAACTCTAAGCAATGGCACCATTTACATGATGGACAGAAGCGAAGGCCTCAGGAAAGACTGAGAGGGTATCAGGAGAACCAGAAGAATTATCCAGCACAAATCAAAGAACCCAAGTTTCAAGACACACTAAAGGAGAATAATCAGCTCTATAAAGAAAAAAATATCAAATAAGGTCAAGTAAGATAAAGATTGAAAAGTGCTCATTAGAATTAGTGGTTAAGAGCCGGGGTAACTCATAATTTATCATCCAGACCAGGACAGTTTTGAGGATGAAAGAGGGCTCTATTAACAAATACCCCAGAAACACTGAATATGGTGCAAACTGAGACATAAGGTCACCCTATTAAGAAGTCACTGTCGCCCTCTGTGAAAACCATTTGAAGAGTAATGCAGTGACCGCCACAAGGATGTGAGTTCAGGAATGAATGTGTGTTGAAAATAGTATGTAATCTTTCAAAAAGTTTATTTACTCCCACTGCTTCACTTGACTAGGCTTTAAAAAGAAAGGTTTGGTTTGATGAATGGGTGAGAAAAATGGTGAGTATTAGTGGTGAAACCGCCCTTCACGTACTCCTTATCCATTTGCTTGACTTCTTCCTCTTGACTACTGAAACTACTTCCCCAAATGTCCCCAGTGATTTCCAATCAGTGCTGGGAGTGAATGACCTTTCCTGTATCCTCAACTTCCACAGCATTTGACATCTTCATATGCCCCCAGTCCTATTTTGAGACTACAGCCCTGAATTACACCTACTAGCTTTCTTTCTCTGACTAGATCTCTCTGCTCTCTTCTTGCTCATTTAATCTTAAAAAGATTGGTGTGTTCTAAGTCTCTGCCTGATATACTTTCCCTCCTTTGTCTATTCTCCCTCCCTCAGTGGTCTTATGCTCATCACCATTTTCACCCTCATCACTAAAGCAACTGACCCCTAAATCTTTTCCTCTGTCCTCAAATTCTGCCATGAAATAATTTTCGTTTTAAACTGATGGCTGTATATCTCTCTCCAGGTGGGGATCCACACCACCTCCCTAAATGTGTCAAAAGCATACAATATCTTTTTCTTAAATTAGCAACTCACAAATGATCTATTTCTGTTAACTCTCAAACAAATGAAGTCTAAATCCTCAGCTTAGCATTTAAGGATATTCATGGTGTGGCCAAAACTACTTGTAAAGATTTTGCTTCCTCTACATGTACGGCAAGCTCTAAGCACAAAGTGCTCTGTTATTATCCTCTGGACATCACCTTGGAACCCAATCTTAGAGAAGCTGGGATTATAACACCAATGAATGCTACTGTTGCTCCTAGAATTCTCTTCTCTCTTCTACACTGGACAAGATTAAGCCAATCAGAAGTCTTGATGAGTATCCTTATTAAATGTGTCCTCCATTCTTCAGTCTCAGACTTCACTTTGTATTACTCTTAAGGTACTTGTCATTTTCTGTCTTTTCATAATGTGTGCATGTGTCTTATCCTCCCTACTATATTGGAAACTCCTTAATAAGAGGGTTTGTGGCCAGGCATGGTGGCTCACACCTGTAATCTCAGCACTTTGGGAGGCCGAGGCATGTGGATCACATGAGGTCAGGAGATCGAGACCAGCCTGGCCAACCTGGTGAAACCCCATCTCTACTAAAAATACAAAAATTAGCCAGTGTCGTGGTGCCTGTAATCCCAGCTACCTGGGAGGTTTAGGCAAGAGAATCGCTTGAACCTGGGAGGTAGAGTTTGCAGTGAGCCAAGATCGCGCCACTGCACTCCATCCTGGGTGACAGAGTGAGACTGTATCCAAAAAAAAAGAGAGTATGTCTTTTCACAGATGTACAACAGGTATTTATTGTTTAGAATCAACAGTTATAATTATAACAGTAGAATAGATGCATTTGACATCTTAATACATGTCACTTGAAAATCCATTATTTTTATCACCCTTCAAAGTAAAAGAAAAACTGATAGCTGTTTATGCTCTGATACATTAAACATCCTCAGTAATCATTATTTAAAAATTATATCTCTGGTTTGTGAACATATAATGTGAGAGACCAGTTTATCAAGTAAATTAATTTTTAGGTACATCAAGATTAATATGATCATTTAGTAAAGTATATTTAGGCAATTAAATTTTTAGAATATAAGTAAGTACAACAGCAAAATCTTGTAATGCCTAGTGTCAAAGGCTTGATTCGTGAATCAACTGGCTATAATAGGTTGTGATTGGAAGTCGAACTTCCTACAAAACCTATTTTTAACACCTCAGTGTATATCACCTGGTATTCTTTGTCTAACAGAACTGTACCTTTAAATACAGCTAATGCCAGATGGTCTCCTCAATAAAAAACAGCAGGAGGCAACATATTAATGCCACTCAACAAGCAAGTCTGCAGACAGCCCGCCAATGAAATCAGTCTTCAGTTGCTAAGCCGTTCTGTCACCATGGCAACACCTACTTCAGAAAAAATATTGGATTTTCAAGTCAAATGAGCCACCCACCTTAAAATTCCAGACCCTCCAAGCTATGATCACCAGATACTT